GAGCTGTTCCTCCCCTCCCCGTCCGCTCTCTCTGTCTGTCTCTTTCTGTCCGTCCGCCCGGCGTCCGCCTGTCTGTGTGTCCCTCCCTGCGTCTCTGTGTTTTGGTGCGTTCTGTTGCTCTCTGACAGGTGCGTCTTCGCGCGCCCCGAAGGTCTCTCCAGTCTCCCTCGCTCGAGTTCGCTGCAGCGCCAACCTCAAGCGCCAAGTGCGCGCCCCGTTGAGCTGGGCGGCACGTTGACCCGCGGTCCGCATCGGGGTGTCTCTCCGTCTGTGTACATGTCACTGTGCCTGTCTGTGTCTCCGTCTCCGTCTCTCCCTCTCTCTCTCTATTCCTCTCCCTCCCTCTCTCTCTCTCTCTCCCTCTCTCCCTCTATGCATATATGTATATCTAGAATCTCGGCTCGAAGGTCTCCGGGCCCAGGGTGCAGCCAAGACACGAAGCCTCCACCAGTCCATGCATAGCATGGCGGCACTTGACCTGAGGCCCTGACCTCAGGAGTGATTCGTGTCGCACCCTCATGCGTTCTCCGCCGCACGCCGCAATGTTTCCAGAGAGCCCTCGGCGTGCGCTTGACATACCACAACAACCGAAGCCGCCAAGCAGTGGCCGCCTGAAGGCAATCTTCACGGATCGGCAGGACACCAACCTCAGCCGCAAGGAGGCCCGCGTCGCCGCACTCCAGAGCAGTCGTTGCTCATATCGAACTTGCTCACACACGTCAAGACGACGAATGCTGCCAACGCCGCCCCGATCGGCGTCGGTTCAGGGGCGAGCTGATGGAACGGTGCGAAACAAAAACTCAACGACATCAAGCTGTGAGACGAACACCAACCTTGGCTCAGCAAAATCCACGGCCCCCGCCGACGCCCCTCAGGGTAACTGCACCGCTCCTCACATCAGAAGTGATGCACTAAACTGGGACGTCCCCATCGCGCCTCCGCTACACAAAGACGATCACGGGACCCCACGTAGCAGTGGCACCAGTCGGAAACCCGTGCCAGGGCCTCAGTGTGAACCTTCGATGCCATGAGGGGCACCAACTACTGCGGCACCGACACAAGATCCCTGGAACTCCATGGTCATCTACCCTCCCGTCACCTTGGAAGGGGTGACTACCGCCAGAGGACCCTGGACAACACCGCTGCAGCCACAGCCACATCATTTTGGCACACCCACCAGTGCAGGGTAGAGCTCCGCGCGACCTCGAGCGAGACCGCAGAGACACCAGCGGCGCGGTGACTCCTGCAGCGCCCCGACGTGCCCGACTCCGAAAGGCGGCAGCTGCTGTGCGCGGCGCTTCGCGCCCCCGACTTCGGCCGCCACGTCCTGCGCTGCGTGTGCGACTCGCCGAGCACGAGAACTGCCTCCTTCGAGTCTCCGTGCTCGACGACCAGGCTCTTCCTGATCCGCCTGCCCTTGATCCCCCCGATCGGCCAGCTGATCTACGTGAGGACCCGCGGCGATATCCGCGCTCCTCGCGCTCCCGCCGTCCAGGGCGACTCCACTCCTCCTCTCGCGGCGGTCTGCGTGGAGGAGGAGGACGAGGATGAGGAGGATGAGGAGGAGTAAGACGAGGAAGAGGAAGAAGAGGAGGAGGAAGAGGAGGAAGAACAGGGGGAAGGCAGGGAGGGAGGGAGGAAGAGAGGGAAGAGTAATAGGAGGGGGAGAAGGAGGACGAACGAAATGGCAGCGCGACATTCGTAGGAGCAAGAGGAGGATCCGCCTCAGGTGGTGGCAGTGGTGGCCTGTGGGGCGACCTCGGGGCAGGATCGCCGAGGGTTCACCCGCCAGAAGCCCCGCGTGACGACCTTCGAGGCCCTCTTCCCAAGCCGACACCCCTCCGCCCGCGGAGCAGGTGGGCTGCCGCGCGCCCTCGACGTCGTCGTCCGCCGGGACCTCCCCCCCGGGAGTCCAGCGACTGCCGCTGGCGCCCGCAAAAAGGGGGCCACCCGACCCACGCTACAGCCTGACCGCCCGCCGCGCTTCGCCACGCCCGACCGACGCCGATGGCCTTCCGCCGACCGCCGCGGCGACCGCCGTCGACCGACGGCCGACCCCTCGCTCCCTGACCATGACGATCGACGTCTGTCGCTCCGACAGACCAGCGTCCCACGACCGACCCACGACGCCAAACTCAACGATAACTCAAGACCCACCCCGCAGCGACCCTCCGCCCGGGCGTCCGGGGACGCTCGACCCTCCCGCCAGGCTCAGCGACTCGGAAGGGTGCGGCTTGCAAAAGGGCATGGTTTGCAACTGGCAACCTGCGGGGCACCCTGGGGGGCGGGCGGGGACCTCGATGGAGTTCTCCGCCGTGCCCCGAGGAGGCCCGACGATGACGGTGTCGTGATCTCCAGGCCCCAACGGCGCCGATCGCAAACCACACCCTTGCGTAACCTTCGCTCGGGCATGTCCCCCCTACAGGCGGATTCTGGACGAAAGATAAAAAACGATCACCAACATACACCAAGAACATTTAAACAATGGACAAAGCATAGCTCCCAGGCCATTTTTTTGACTATCTTCTGACATTCCCCCTGTGGAGGGACGGGCCCGTCTTCAGCGTCACCGCGCCCCTTTCGGCGACTCTACAGGGTGTGGTTTGCAAAGGGTGTGGTTTGCAACCGGCACCCTGGGGAACATCCTGGGGCGCACCCTGGGCGGCGCGCGGGGACCTCGATAGAGTTCTCCCGCGCCCCGAGGAGGCCCGACGGGGACAGTGTCGTGCCCCCCAGGCCCCAACGGCGCCGATCGCAAACCACACCCCGGCGTAACCACACCCTTTGTTGTCGCCGCCCCCTGTGCTCGCTGACGTGAGTCCGACTCTCCGCGGCGCTCCGCAGGTCGGCCCACCGGGCCAGCGCTCGAGCCGGCCCTCGTGCTGACACCTGCGCCTGTTCGACGACCGACGACGACCGTCAGGCCGGGCATGTCCTCCCGCAGGCGGATCTTGGAGCGGGGGGGGGGCAAAATAGTCACAGGTGAGCAGGAATAGTAGAGGCATCGCCCCGAGACTATTTTTTGACTGTGCTTGAATATTCCTCCTGTAGAGGGACATGCCCGACTGACACCTGTCTGTGCGACGACCGGCGACGACCGACCGCCGACGACCGACCGTCGACCGCTCGACCTCCTCCTCCGACGATTCCCGCGCCACCGCGCGTGTGCGAAGGTGGTCAGGCAACGGCTACCAGCCAGTGGCGCAACTAGACAAGCGCGTTCCACTACTCGCAAGGTAACTGCTCGCAAATGTCCTGGATCCCCCGCGGGGGATCTATGAGACATTACATCCAAGCAGACATGTGTTTTTTCGGACGTTTGCGAATCGGCGCTTTGCGAGTAGTGGAACGCGCTCGGTGAGCAACGGCATCCGCGGCCACCGCGGCGCCGCACCGTCGTCGGCCGGGGGAACGAAACCCGCGCTGGGTGGCTCAACTGACCAGCGGCAACACCGCCTGCCTGCGCGCGCCCAGCTTGACCGCTGCCACCCCGCCCCCCCCGAGCCGGGAAAAACTCTCCGACGCCGCGCCGCCGACCGACGAGCCAGCGTCCGACGGCCGACCCACCGTACAGTCGGGGCGTTGACCTGAGGAACCCCAAATAAGGAAGGAGGCCCCTTTTTTCCATAAGTCAAACTGAGATTCCCCATCCCATCGAAAACAGAGAGGAACACCTGAGGCAAGCTGTGAAACCATTAAGGAACACGGAGCCCCTCCCCAGCGAACAGGGCTCCTTCTTCAGCGACCCGACTGTAATGTGGCCCTTAGTGGGCCCTGGAAACGACAAGGCCGTTTTTTTACCGGTTCCGTTGTGCCGTTGTTTTGCTGGTTCCGACGCCGTTTTTTTACCGGTTCCGTCGCCGTTTTTTGACCCGTTCCGGCTCCTGTTCCAATCCTGGAGCCGTTTTTTTGCTGTTTCCGGTTGCTGTTTTTTTGCCGTTTCCATTTTCAAGGGACATTTTTTTTGGACACGGTGACAAAACGGCCCTGTCGTTTCCGGGGCCCGCAAAGGTGTGGCCGCAGAGCCCGCGCTCCAGCTGGCCCCGATGTCGACGACCGCCGACGGCCGTCTGTCGACTGCGCGACGACCGCCCGCCGACCGTCCGCCGACCGTCCGCCCGACGACCGCCGACGACCGTCCGCCGACCGCCGTGGCGACCGCCGACGCCCAACGGTCGTTTCCTCGTTCCCTGACCATGACAATCGACGACTGTCACTCCGACAGGCAAACATCCGATGAACGATGGCGCCAAATTCAACGATAACTCGCGGTCCAGTCCGCAGCGACCCTCCGCGCGAACGTCTGCCGACTCTCGGGGACATCAGCCGCCAGGGACACTGGGCCTGAGCGGCCATCAGTCCACTCGGCTGAGCGCCCGAGCAACCTCGCTGGTGCTCCAGGCCACCAGGCCTGCGCTCCAGCCTGTCCTCGCGTGGGCTTCCACGTTCGTCTGGCGACCGTCCGCCGACCGCCGTAACGACCGCCGACGACCGACGGTCGATTCCACGCTCCCTGACGATGACGATCAACGACTGGCGCTCCGACAGACCAATGTCCGACGACCGACTTCAGCAGTTTGACCAGCAAGCCAGCCCTCCAGCCAGTCCTGGTGTCGACGACCGCCGACGACCGTGTCGACTGCTCGACGACTGCCGACGACCGTCCGCCACGCCAACCGTCCGTCCGACGACCGCCGACAACCGTCCGTCGACCGCCGCAACGACTGCCGACGACACACCGTCGAACGACTGCCGACGACACACCGTCGACTGCTCGCCCTCCGACTACGACACCCATACCACCACGCCACGTCGGTACCCGGGTGACGGGCACCAACCAGAAGCGAAGCCTCACCAGGGCGGAGGCCACCAGGCCCTCCCGGCGACGAAGGTAACACCACAGTGTGCCAGACAAGCACACCCCTGCGCCCCCCTCGCGGGCCCAGGGAGGCCGCCGCTCTCACCAGGCCGCCGCGCCATCCCACTGTGGGCACGTTGGG